CCGGGCTGGGCAGGGCGGGAGGCGAGCGCGGCGGCCCGGCCCTCCAGCGGGCGGGCCATGCTCGGCCCTGGGCGCGGGGAGCCGCGGGACCCACTCGCTGTCGGCCGGCCGCTTCTGGGTGCTAGAGCTCGGGCTCCCGGGCCCCGCCGTCCGTATTTATAGGCGCGCGCGCCCTGCACCCGCGCTGCGAAGCGCTCTTTGCAATAACACTGTATCACGTGTGGGGAATGAGACCTGGGAAGAAAACAAAGCCGCAGGGGTGGGGGGGGTGGCCTGCCTGCCCCTGTCGTCCCTGCTGCCTGCTTGCGGAGTTGGTGACTCCCGGGGCCCGCGGAAGCCAGGTACGGGAAGCGAGCACGTCACCCGGCACGCTCCTGCGGAGAATTGGGGGTGCGCACAGAAGCTGGAGCGCCACGGCGTGGGCTGGTCTTCCTGGGTGGGAGAGTTACAGGCAGGGCAGTCACCTGGAGCCACACAGAGATCCGGACAGCCCACGAGTTAACCGAATCCCGCGTTACTCCTGGACCGAGTAACCCACCGGTCCTTTTAATAGTTCTGTGGGAAGGTCTACCCCAAAGTGTCGCTAACCCCAGGGATGTGCCCCGGTTTTTCACAGGCCCAGCGGGCAGCGCCTAGATAAAGGCGTGCACGGGACTGCCCAGGCCTGTGAGCACCTTCCTTCCTTGTGGTCCTGTTGGAGCTCCTATCCAAGAGCGGCAGAAATTTTCATTTGGGCCCTAAAAGATGTGTTCAGTTTCTATGAAGATAAAGGTGAGCTAATAATCTTGCTCTTGTCACCTGGCAATTTTTGTGGAGTATGAACTCTGGCTCACCTATAAACGATGACTGATACGAAGTTATTCCCCTTATTTCATAAACAAATGTTTGGCACCCACTACACCTTCTAATATGGGTTCTTGTCCAAGGACGCAGTGACCTTTGGATCTAGATAGAGTCACAGCCCCATCATAGGATGGTGAAGGCAGAGTGCGCCTGCTCCACGGGAAGACCTGTAGGGATTTCTTTCAGGCGGTGCGAGTGACAATGTAGCATGGACCAATTTTCAGACAGAATTCAGCTCTGTGACACCTAAGAAACCTTGCCACACTTTTCTGAGGAAGAAGCAATGTGTTTAAGATCAACGGATTAATTAGAGGTTTAAATTTAGCCTCGGAGCTAATGGGTAACTCTACGTTGAAATTCCACTCCATTTCAAGTTTAGGAAAGTAAATTAAATAATGGAGAGCGAACACACACAGTCCAGAGATGTGCAGCCAACTCGAAGTCCGAGATAGGATGGGTTTCGGGTTACATTTGCGAGGGACAAACAGGTCGTATGGCTGTTTGCATGAGCAATTGTTTGTATTTAATTCTGTGTCGTATTTAGGCCTTCTGAAAAAGAGGACCTGATGTCTACTGCAACCTCACAACATCTAAGTTAAAACCTGGTGGCTAACTCTGAAATTTCATCAGGTTTTTAATTCCTTTAACTACCTTGAAACTTCCAAGTTGCTTTATTACAATTCACTTAATTTACATGATCATTGTCCTAGCTTTGCTGGGAAGCAGGGTTAAATGAGACTCCAATTCTGCACCTGTAAAAGAAAAAGAAAATTACTTTATTGCAAAAGTGTAAATGTTAAGCAAACAGGAAGGGAAAATTATGAGCAATCTCTTCTCTTTTGGAAATACCTAAATATTTTGATTTCTGCTTTGAGTATATTTTCAAACAGAAGGTTTAGACTGATGTGTCTTGGGATTTTGCCTGCTGTGTGATTATTTCCATTTACAGCATTCTTCTGGAACATTTCTGTAATGGCTACATGGTGTTCAATTTGCTGGAGCATTATAAACTATTAAACTCCTGCATAAGTGTGTTGGTTCCATTTTTTTGCCATAAAGAGGGTGACGGTGACACTCTAAGTCTTTCTACTATGCAGTGTGTGTGTGTAATCCTTTGCTTTTGAGGGGCAATATTGGGAACTAACTTTAGGGCTTCACTCATTCTAGACAAGCACTCCACCACTGAACATAGCCCCAGTCCTCTTTCTTGGTTTTCAAAAAATTTTTGAGACAGGGTCCCTGTAACCCAGGCTGGCTTTGAACTCACTTTGTACTGCAGTTGGGTCTTGAATTTATGATCCTCCTGCCTCAACTTCCCAAGCAGCTGGGATTACAAGTTTGCCTCATACAATCCAGACTACCATACCCTATTATTTTCTTAAATAGTTTCTGGGCCCAATGTCATATCCTGTTTTAAGACATTCTCTCCAGAGAGGCTCTAATATGCTTCCTCCTGTTCTTGCTGGATATTACATGTTTTTCAGCGGCACCCATTTCCTCACCCTTTTGATATAATCATTCCCATTTTAAGTTTCAAGTATGCAAACTGATTTCAAATATTTATTAAAGCATCAACCGTGTATCAGTATCTATTTAATCCCCTATTGGGGATCATGAGAGATTTATTGTTCCCCAACTGTGTGTCAGCCACAAAGTATTTTGAATCCTATGACCACCAGCTGGTAGTGGTGAGGGTGGCATTATCATTAATATTTTAAAGATAAGGCACAGAAAAATTTAATAATGTCATTGAGCTCAGTGACTGGGCCAGCATGTAAATGCCTCTATCTCTAAGACACATGCCTGTTCCTGCGCCCTCTACTGGTAAGGATGTTTACAGGTAGAGTCAGTCTACATTTTATCCTATCTTCATCCTTGACAGCCAACTATAAAAGAAATATTACAAACTTTGGGGTAAGAGGATCTGGGTTTCCAGAGAAAGTCACTTAACCACTCTGAACTCACTTCCTATTTGGGTGGCAGTGATGTTCTGAGAAGCCTGCACAAGGAATGCTTGCTAATGCTCAACGTTCTTTTAAAAATGTCAGGTATTATTAATACCACTCAGATCTACTTTGATCATGAATTATTCTGAATCATTCATTTTTGACTATGAATTCTTTGATCATGGACTATTGAGCAGCCTCTACATGTACAGTACCAGCTTGAAATGAAGGAGTAAGTGTGAACCGTACTCCTTGTGTTCTTGATAAGCAAAATAATGGAATACATTTAAAGAAAAGTTCAAAACAAACTGAGTGTCAAATGAGTATTGGGTTATAATTGGAAAAAGATTTTTCAATATATATTTTATTAAATTTTTGTGCATTTTATACAATACATCGTAATTATATTTAGATCTCTCCCCTATCTGCACCTCCTCATAGTCCCCCCCCACCAGATTTCATGCCTTCTGTCATATATGTTAAGGTCTATCGAATCAAGTTTGTGTCCCCAAATGTCCCTACCTGTGAATTCATCCCGTGGATCCTGGTCAGCCTATCTAGCATCACACCCTTAAAGGAAACCAACTCTCCCTCACCCTGAAGTGAGCAGCTACCAATAGTTTCTCAGCTAATGTTGCGGCTTCTTGCTCATTTCCCCAGTTCTATGCTGGGTTTTTGTCTGGTTTGAGTTTGCATGAGTCTTGTGCATGTTGTCACCATTGCTGTAAGTTCATTTGACCAAGTTCCCAGAAGCCTGTAAAACACTTGTTTCCTTGTGGTTGTCCACCAACCCTGGCTCTTGCAATATTTCTGTCCCCTCTTCTGCAATGGTCCCTGACTTAGATGGGTGAGGTTTAATACAGGAGTCCTATCTGGAGGCAGTTACTCTGTCGTCTCTTATTCTCTACATTTTGCTCATTTGTGGCTTTCTGTGTTCATCCCCTCTGTTGCATGAGGAAGCTTTGCTGGTGAGAGTTGAGAGATGCATTAGTATTCTCTATAACCCCTGTTCTACTATGTTCTGTGAGTCTTGTGTGTAGAGGTTCCATTGCAGATGTGTCACTTAGGACTGGGCATCTCACAGACACTTATTCTCTGTGTGTGACCAGTTGTGGAACTCTGTAACAGTCTATATCTGTTGCAAAAAGAAGCTTCTTTGATGAATGGTGACAGGTACACTTATCTGTAAATATAAAGATTCACATTTAGCATCCAGTGAGAAGTTACGTTTGTCTAGGGATTTGACAGACATAGGGTTTTCTCTGGGATCTATGATCTCTCCAGCCATGTATTTGACTATGTTTACAGTATCACACAGGAGTTCCCTCCCATTGAGGGGACTTTAAGTCCAATTAGATAGCTGTTGAATACCCCCAAGATAAAAGTGCCACTACTGCATAGTTATAAATTGCTGTGCTGATCATTGTGGTTATTAGACTTGAAAACTGGGGTTGGATTATTGATTGATTTTTCTCCCTTAGCAGCTTACATAGTGTCCTCTAGAACTATGTAAATTATGAGAGCTTGGAATGAGGCTTCCAGGTCAGTTCCAGCTCTGTTGCTCCAAGTCCTGTGTCCAAAGTATGTCCTGTCTTCAGCTATAGGATCTTACCTTCAAGTTCTGGCAGGAAATCAAGGACTGTGGCAATAGCCTGTGGTATTTTGGGAGTCTCTTGAACTACCCTAACGAACAACTCGAAGGGATGTTTCTCCTGTCTCACACTGTTTCTTGTTATAGAACCTTCAGCTATACATGTGCACACTCATGCACTCATGTACAGTATGTGTGTTTTTCAGTAGC